ACCAAGGACCAGGCCAACGGTCCCTTTTTCCATCCTGCCACTGGGAAAGGTTCAGGGAGGTAGGGCAAGGAAATTCCAAGGACCACAAGGTCTTTGTTAATGGGTCCTGGGCTCAGAGTTGAGAGATTGTGGGTACTTCCCTCCCTGGACCAGTTGAGGGTCTCAGCCTAGGCCTGAAGATCTCAGTTTGGAAAGAGCCTCCGTATTCACCACCAGGAAGCCCCTCTTCACACTTTCTTCCCTCTCCTGCACATGCATCCCAGGAGGACTCTACCAAAGTCCAGCATCAATGACAACTGTCCCAGCTCACCAACCTTCAATGGCTCCCTACTGCTTATGGAATAAGGTCCAAACTTGCCTTGCCCTCCTCTTCTTTATGAACCTCTGTCTTCTTTCTCCATTTTCTTAGACGCTGAACCTGTCCCCTGCTTCTTCCCTGTGCTTACTCATACAATCCGCACTTGACATGCTTCCTTCCCTGGCCTCCCCAGCCCTTCAGAGCCAGCAAAAATGTCACTGCCTCCAGGAAGCCTTCCCTGACTGTGTGAGTTCACCAGAAGCCTCCTCTTTTGAGCCCCCAGAAAGAGCCATGCTGAATTCAGATCTGGAATCTTTCTTGATCCCTCCCTGTCCTCATTGCCCAGCCTCCTCCTCCAGGCAAGCCCTCCAAGATCAGTTAAGACCTTCAATGGCTCTCCTTTGCCCTCAGGATAAAGTTTCAACTTCTACCTCCTCCTCCTGATCATTTTCTCACTCTAATTCCCTGAGAATGTGGAGCAAGACCCCACTCCTGGAAGCCCTGGCTGTACACAGGGCTCCCTCTGTCTGGAATGCCCTGCTCCCCTAATGGTTTCCTCTTGGGGGGCTCTTAATCTTTTAGTTGGGTTCACTCAAGCATTGTCTCCTCCAGGAAGTCCTCTTAGACTGTGCTCCTGCCAGTTGGGCTGGACACCACTCTTTTTTGATACTGTAATTCTGGTTCCTGTGTCTCTGTCCTCTGGGAACCGTACATCCCTTAGGGGCTGAGGCTGGATCCCTGTACCTCCCAGCCTGCCTGCCCTGCCTAGGGCCTGGCTCCTGCAAGCATCTATAAATGACACCAGCTATGAGGCCTTGAGGAAGATATGTAACACTTCTGTGCCTCAGTATCCTCACCTAAAAAATGAGGATAATACAAGTCATTTCTAATGCTCAGTACAGTCTGCAGATAGAAGTGCTGTCAGGGTCAATGAAATAAGTCAATACATGCTGAGCCAGGGAGTTCAGTTCCACACTTTCTGGTGTCTTGCTTGCTATTCCAAGAGCCCCCTGCACGTTCTCCTGCACAGCCAGGTGTCTTGCGGCATGCTCTCACAGTACCCCATCCTCCCGGCATGTGCATCTACCACAAAGACAACTCCACTGCGAATGATACAATGAGCCAGCAAGCTGAGTCTGAGGTGGTATCTTTTCAATTCCTGGCTCTATCTCAAGGCTACATGTCCAGGGCCTGTACACAGCAGATACTCAGCAAATGTTGCCTCCTGCAATGCCTGGGGGTTCAGAATAACCAGCTGGCTCAGCTGCAGGACATTTCTGTGGTTACTGACAATTCCTGCAAACTTGGACTTCCTGGGCCTGCCAAACTAGCCCCCAAGTCCAACAGCCTCCTTCTCTCCTGGCTTACAGTGGAGAGTTTAGTCTTGTCTTGTGAGATGGATTAAATAGAACATCTATTCT